GCAAAGGATAAGGGCATATGCTCTCACATTTCCCATCACATCCCCACTGGGGCCCCGTTTAACACAAATGCTCTGTATTTTTACTGAACCTGGGCTATTCCTCAAAGCCTTCCATAGGGAATTTAACCAGTCTTCACAGGTTCTTCGTTGAACATCACTTTGACCTCTGACCTTTCATTCCTCTCTGAAGAAATGCCACTATGTCACTATGGAAACTGTTGCTAATATGTCATGATTTCCCAGAGTGTGATAGTGTACAAATGCTCTCTCAGATGACTCGCCTCTCTTCAGTCTCCAGGCTTTCCTGGGTTCACTTGAAAGAGTTACTCTACACCTGGCTGCCTGCTGCAGGGAAGAAAAGAAACAGAAAGAGAAGGCAGCCCTCGCCCAGCTTCCCAGCTGCTTCCCTGCCAGGGCTCTTCTGACCAGAAGTCCCTCTCCAAAGCACTGGGGAATTCACTCCACTATTACTGCAGGCCCCTTTTGTAGCCCCCACAGCTCCTCAGCAGCTCTGCACTCCATGGAAAGAACATGTCCTCTCATCTCCCTTAGAGCCACAAGAAGGTGAGTCTAGGAAAATCTCAATGCCACGGGACAGGGACAGGGCCGAGGGACCAGGTGGGCCAGGCAAAATCTTACACCTTCCCTCTTTGGCCCAGGGAGCGGAGAAGGGATAGAATTACCAGATGGGGTTTGGAACAGATACATTTGCCTCAATCAGGGCAGCTGCTATCATTTTGAAAAACTGTGGCAACATACAACACAGATGAGACATATCCACAAAGTAATGATGCTATTTTTTTCTTTGTATAAACGAATAGACCAGAACATTCGTCTCCTTAATTCTCACATCCAGTATCTTTATTCCTATTTAACAAACGTGAAAAAACAAATCCAAGTTATTGATGGCAAAAGTGCCTGCTTTGGTGTCCTTTGTTGTGGGCATACTCTCCCAGGTAGAATCCTGAGGTCTGCAGGACGTCGGGTCACACCCTACTTTGGACCCACCCTGATCACCCAGACTTTGTGTGTCACACTTCATTCCAAAGAGGCTTTTGGTAATTTCCAAATGTCAAATTCACCCCTCAAAAGACAAAGATTTGTTAGCAGGAGGATTTTCAAAAGAATATGCTGAAGGCAATTGCAAGAGAGGGTACTGCAAAACCTTTCTGAGTCTGAGCATAGCCACAGCATTCAGATAAGCTTTTAGTCTCCTCAAGGAAAAAACAAGGAAGGGGATGACAGTGATTTGGATGAATAAGTTCTGCTGTGTTTGTATTAAGATAGAAAAGAAAAACAAGTCTCCCAATTTTACCCTCACCTTGAATAATAAGATGCAGAAAAAGGTAGTGGAAATGCACTCACGGTTTTGGATAGGAAAATTCAAATGCCACTCAGACAATGCATGACTGCTATTTCACCCCATTCCCTTTGATGAAAAAGTGAAGCTGACTTCCACCATCAAGAATCAGCGGAACAGACAAATTCTTGGGATAACATTCTGTTTGATCCTAATCTACAACATCTGTAAGATCAAGGGGAAAAAAAGCACTCAGACCCTTAATCTGTGCCTGCCACGTTCCCACCAAGTGAACAAACCCCCTCCTAATACAAGCACGTAAGAAAACAAACCTTGGGAATTAGAACAAATTGTGAAGGCACCGTAATGAACAGACAGACATCAAAATAGGAAAAGAAAAAAGCATTCCTTTTTCAAACAGGTTTTATTTAGAACAAAACTAAAAAAGGAACTCAAAGTCAAGCAGTTCCCAGTTAACCACGGTTCAATATGTGGCAGTTATTTGTCCCTCATTAAAAAGAAAAAGCATCCTAAGAATTCCAAACTCACTAATTTAACACTCTCTGGGACTGGAAAAATACATTCCCAAGATAATTTTCCTAAAAATTTCCCATAGAGGGCACTAGAGAGGTACGATTGAGGCTGACTTGGGAATCACAGTCATTTCTGGTAAAAGTTCTTTGATGTGAGGAATGTCCCAGTCTGGTACAGTTGGCAAAAGTTCACTCTGGGGAATTGTGTGTGTGTGTGTGTGTGTGTGTGTGTGTGTGTGTGTGTGTGTCTGTCTGTCTTGGGAAGGGGTGGTTGAGTAAGAAGAGTGCTAATCTGGTATCATTAATTTCAAAAAGGAAATACTCCCCTTGATTTATTTTCATAAGTTATCTGAGAAACAAATAGCAGCCCTGGAAAAGTTCTAGGTCTTGTTTTTGTTTTGCTTTTTCATTAAAAGGGGGCCCAGCTGATGAAAACAAGTTATGAAATGACCTATGTTTGTGTAACTGGCTGGATTGCGTAATGCTAAGGCCCTGAAACCGTAATAGCCAAGCTGCCAGGCAGGGCATATATCTGGGAGATGTTTTCCTAGGAAAGTTAGGAGAGAGAAAACAACAGCAAAAAGAAAAATCCAAGAGGGGGAGGTGTGTGCAACGATTACTGACAAAATGAAATCACCAATGACCAACCTTTGAGATTAAAACTATAACTGGAACAGGAAATATTTTTCATGCCTCAAGTTCCTGCCATATATAAGAACAGAAGCTATAACAAAGAGTTGTCTGCTCCCCTCCACCCCCCAAAGTCACTGGAGTTCATGGCCATGTGTTAAGATCCAGCTTCATGGAGCTAGATGGGAAGGGAAAGCTCTGGGTTGAAGAACTGGCAGCAAACTGATGAGGACTATCGGACCCCCAAAAGAGAGACCTGAAAAAACAAAATTCACTTGCCCAAAGAAAAACCAGAGAACGGTCTTATATGGATGGGTGCACTGAGATGCCATAAAAGAGAAAGGCCCATCCACTGACTGCCAGGAAAGTCTCCCAGTGAAGGAAGCTGAGAGAAATAAAGTGATTACATGTTTTATCTGGTATGTAGTAAAGTTACCTTGAGCCCAAGATCGGGCAAGGTCATAGCACAGACTTGTGACAAAAGCCTCTGAGGTCAGTCCTCAGGACCACAGAACAATTTTGTTCACAGCTGGAGCGATGACGGAAAAATCCACCCCGTTCCTCCTCGTCCCCCACCCAACCACCACCAGACCAAGGAGCGGACAGGCCAAGAAACTTGTCTAAATCAGCATTACCTTGCCAATCCCTCTGGTTTGAAAGGCGCTTCACACACTGCCGGGCCGAATGGGCAGGCGTCTATGTGAGAGCCCCATGCACTGGCTATTGCTAATTGCAAAATCCTCATGTGTTACAGCATGCTAGGAATTAACCAACAGCTGCTTTTTGCTTCAGTAATGAGGCCCTATTACACTCTGCTGGGCTGAGTTCTCTTCCTTCTTCCTCGCTCTGGTTTCCTGTCTGATTTTCTTCCAAAACAGGGAATTGCCTCCACTCAGATCCTGAGCTCAAAGCCCTAGTGACACAGATTATACAGTTGGGGCACCAATGTCCGGTCTGACTTCCCTCCAGCTCCAGGGTCTATGCTAAGCCAGGCAGTAAGATTGCAGTACTCCAACGATCACTGCCAAAGACACGTTAGGGAAAAGAACAGAAAAGAAATCAAAAGATCCCTTCCTGATTTCAGGGAGGAGGAGACAGGCGTTTGGGGTTCGTGGACTGGGAAGAAGAAGGGAGTGGGTATAGACTTCCACCTATTGCCTGCCTCATAATGTTTACATTGAATACAAACCACCAACAGGACTGGGAAGCAAACATAATCAACAACTTTCGGATTTTAAACTCCTCACCTTGGTGCTCAATGAACAGACTAAGCTGTCTACTGTGGGTGCTTATAGGAGCACCAGGGGAGGCAGAGGGAAGAGAGAAAAGCCATTTTGGGGACTCACCAGATACAGGGAATCACTTTGGAACAAGGGATCCCTCATCAGATCCAAAAGAGACCCATATTCCATAATATTTTCCAGCTGAGTCCACCCCCTCCCTGGAAGCCCACCCAGCCCCTTCTAGAGCCCAAGGCCACACTGCGCGTTAGGGAGCATCTCCTGCTGCAGCCAACTTTGCTAGACCCCCACAGATGCTGACCACGGTGGGCTTCATGTTGTATTGTGTCTGCGTTAACCCAGCTCTCTCGAGACAGAGCGGGTGGAGGAGCTGCAGCAGAGGGCAGGCACGCCATCAGCACCCCCCCCCCAACCCCCAGCAGCACCTTCCTGGTATTTATAAACACACAGATCACACGCACAATCCCTCCAGTGCAAACCAGTCAGGCTGCTTTAGAAACAAGTTGCTTTCTGCTTCCAGAACCACCCAGGAGCCTACGTGATGTCTCTTCCCCTACCCGACCCCCTCTTCTCTCTGCCGGCCTCCTTGCTCTACCCCCAGACCCTCAAGGTGCTCCTTCGTTCCTGGGGGAGGCGGACAGTGCAGGCTCCTGCCCCCCGACCCTTACAGAAGACGGACGGAGACGGGCAGGCAGGGGCACACAGGCGGCAGGAGCCAATCAAGGCTGGCTTCTTCCCTCCTGACCTTCGCACCTGATTCCCAGAGCGGCAGCCCTCGCCCTCACTCCAGTTACTTGAAGGAGTCCAACCATGTTTCTGGGTCCCCAACCCCTTTCAGAAAGGAGCTAAGACTGATGGAGACCGGGGAGGAGAGGAAGAGGGCTTTCCCGAAGGAATACGGTCCCAGGATGTCCAGAGGTGCCAGTGGGTGCAAAGATTTTCTTGTCTGTCCACCACCCAGAGAGAAGGCGCGGGGGGTGGGGGAGTGGGGAGAGAGGGTAGTTCTTGGAAGGAGGTAACGGCCTCCTGGTAGGGGGCCTACAATTCCAGGAGTTTGTTTGGGTAAAATATAATGGGGGGGAGGGTGTTGTCTCTTCAAGCCCACTCACCAGTCCCCTAGTTTAAAAGGGCAGGGGGGAAGGGCGGGACGAAAATCCAGAACTTACAACGGTGGCCAGTAGGTATTTACTCGCCAAGAAAAGGAAAAGAAAGGAAAAGAAAGCAAAAGAGGCAGTGGCGGCGAGAGGAGGGCAGGGGTCCGCCCGCGCCGCCAGGTGCACCGGGGCCCTCACCTACCTGCTGGCCGCCGCCGCCGCTGGGGTAGGACTCGGCGTGCGCAGGAGAGCCGCTGCTGCCCCGGGACGAGGTGTCAAAGTTCCCGGGATAATCCTGGTACATGATCCGCGGTGGGGGCCGGAGAGGAAACAGGGTGTTTTTCTTCCCCCGCCCTCGCCGCGGCCGCGCACCAACTGCTGCGCGCTTGGTCGTCCACCCGCCGCGCCGCGGGCTCTGAGCTTCGCTCCTGGGTTTCTCCCCCTCCGCGGCGGGCGAGGACAGGGAGGCGGCGACACCCCGAGAAATGCGTCCCCCAAGCGCCTCTTACGGCACTTCTTTCCGGCTCTGCGAGCGCCGCGGGAACAGTTGTCCACCCGGTCCCTCCCTCTAAAAAGTCGGCGCGTCTCTCGGTCCCTCCCCTGCGCGCGCCCTCCCGCCCCCGCGCGCAGCCGGAGCTCAGCCGGGACCCACGGCCCAACCAAAAATTGGAAATTAAAAAAGACTGGGAGCCCGGCGAGCCTGGCCTGCCAGCCCCAGGGACCCCCTCCCCCCCGATTTCAGACAGGGTCAAAAAGGCGGAAAGAAACGCTGTCCGCTGGGACAAACTTCTGTTTCTTCCTTTTAGAAAAGGAGCCGGCGAATAAACTTCCCGTGGCCGACTCGCCGACGGAGTTTCGGGGCGGCTCGGACACTTGACTAGGAGAAAGCGGCGTGCGCCTGTCCCGCAGCCCCGAGTGCGCCAGGGGAACAGCGGCCCGTGGGGTTGAAGCTGAGCTGGCGCTGAGAGGGACGCGGCCCCGCTCCCCGCTCCGGCGTCCGGACCTGCACCCCTTCCCTGGCGCCCGCTCCAGGACCGGCCCGCCTCGCCCGGCCGCGCCTCTCTCTCCCTCTTTCGGTCCCCGCCGAGCGCGGCTCGTTCGCTCGCTCGCTGGTTCGCTCCGAGCCCTAGCGCTCTGCCCGAGATGAGTCACTACAATGGCACGAGTTCAACTCCACACTCTTTATTCTCCAGCCCTGTACCATGTGGATTCACTCACGTCAACCCCAGACTCCACCTTGAGGGAGGAGCGCACGAGGAGGCGGGGGAGAGGAGGCCGAGAGGAGGAAGAAGTGCGGGAGGGGAGGAGGCCGGCGCAGCGCTCCCCTCCGGGCTTCGGCTCCCGGCCGCGCTGACGCCAGCCGCGCACTCCGCGAGAGGAAGCCAGGTGGTGTCCCGGGCTGGAGCTGGCGGCCCGCACGGTTCGGGGTCGCAGAGGCAGCCCCGGCCCTCCCGCGCCCCCCGCTCACCCCCCGGGCCCAGCGCCCTTGGTCTGTTCCATTGGCGCACGTTGCCAAAGATGGTCATTTGCGTTAGAGGACGCGAGTGCGGGTTTCCTCGCTTTCGGGTGACGTGGAGGGAGAGGGATTCCCTCGCCCGCTCCCGAGTGCGCTGCGGCCTCTCCCCCACCCTGGGAAGGGGCGCGGGGCGGGCCCCGAGAGCGGCCGCGCGGGTCTCGGCTCCAGATTTTAGAAAATAATCACAGCCCTGACGGCGAGACGGGCGGCTAGGTGCGGCGCCACCGGGAAGTCGGGAGCTGGGCGCGCACAGGCGCTTGCAGGGAGGGCGCGGCCGCGAGCGGTTGTAGGCGCCCTCCGCGGCGCCGCTGAGCGCAGCGGGCGCCCGGGGCGCGCAGGGTGCCCGCGCCGCCCTGCGGCCGGGTCTTTGCTGGGCGCGGCGCCGCCGGGCGGGGCTGGCCTGCCTATTTTTCCCTCCGTGGCGGGCTGCTTGCTGCTTCCCTTTTTTGTTTTTTTTCTTTTTTTCGGTTGTACAGTTAATTTGTTAGGAGTAGCCTTGAAGATGAAATTAACCAGTCAAGACATTCCGGCCGCCCTCCGCGCGGGCAACTAGGACGCATCTAATAAGAGTAATCGGGCATTTATAAGCAAACTCGACTGTTACGAATTAAAAAAAAAAAGGTTGCCAGTGAGAGGGTGTGCCCCAACGTTGTCATCTTCAGCTGTTTTGGAGCGAAGTTCAGGGCGCGGGTAGCCGGACTCCAGGGTCCCCCTCCCTCGCTGGGCGGGGCGCGGCTCAAGGTACCGAGCACAGACCTAGGAGCAGGAACGCCCGACTACGCTATTTACGAGCTGTGAGATCGTGGACAAATTCCTTAACCTCTCTGGGCCTCAGTTTCCTCCTATAAAGCGAAGGAGTTGGGCGACATGACCTAAGGCCCTTCTCTGCTCTGGAGCTCCAATCCTTCTGCTGAGATGATTGTGCGCATGGAGAAGTACTGTAGCAAAAGTCAGGGAACTTAGATTCTGATCCAGGGTCTGTGTAAGCGTCAGTTTACCCAATTCTTAAGTAGCACCAGGCATCTGTACCCCACAGGGTCCTTATGAGGGCCCAATGTTAAGAGGTGTTGAGAGTCCATTGCGGACAACTCGCTGTGCACTGTCACACAATTTCAGTCCTCAGTTTCCTTATCCGTAAAGTGGGGGTGTTGGTAGGAAAGAAAAATAGAGCCGGGAACGCGAAGCTTTCCTGGGGCTCTATATAAAGCGCTGGCATTTCCGGGACTGCTGGCGGCATCTGGCCGCCCCAAGGGCCCCAAGATACGGTAATCCCAAACAATACTCGGGGTCATTGTTTACAGCTATAAAACACATTCTGTCCTGAACACTATTCCCAAGGACACGCGCGCGTGCGCGACGAAGCTAGGCCCGCCAGACTCCTCGCACCTCCGCTGGTGCCCGCTGGGCAGAGTCCCCAACTCCGCAGGCCCAGGGATGGGGTGTGGGGCAGGCGAACGCGTACGCCAGCCGTGGGTGATTTGCTTCCCCGCCCCCGTCCCCCATCCTTGAGTCCTGGCCTGCCTGGGTGTTTACGCGCCTCTCCCAGCAGGACTGAGTAAATGCAGTCCTTTGACGCAAAACGAATCAGCCCTTCCCCAGCGGCAGCAGCGAAACCCAGAAAACTGGGGGTGGGGTGAGGACGGGAGGGGCGCAGAAGAAATCGTGACACTTTCCCACTTGCTTCTCAGCCCCTCCCCGGGTCACGCGGGCCTCAGGCTGCCCTAGCCAAGTCTTGGGGGCTGCAAAGAGAGGCGCGGCCAAAGCGCTCTGGGCCCTCCCAGTAGCAACCGCGTGTCTGAACGGCGCGAACAGACGCACTTTTGGTTTTCCTTTGAGCAGTAAAGGCTGCCCCGCCCTCCCCCACCTTGCGCTCGAAAATCCGGGTGCTTCTGGGTCTCTCCCACACAGTCCTTCCAGTAACGCGGGGGGGAAAAGAGGAGGGGGAAGGGGAGCGGGAGCTTCCTCCGCGGCCTCCTTAGTCCCGGGCGCGCCCAGCCGGGGCCAGGCCCCGCCGGGAGCGCGCGGGCGAGCGCACCCTCGCGCCCTCGCCCGCCCCCGCCCTGCCAGCTCCCCGGTCCTTTCCTTTCTTGTGGGTTCCCGTAAAGCCCAGCAGCCTGGAGACGTCTGCAGAGCATCACGGAATCTGTGCTGATGCAACTCACTAGCCTCCCTTTGGTGCGCCCTGGCCTGCCTCAGAGCGCTTTGATCCTGGCCCTCTTCTGCTCCAGAACTCGTGCTGGCTCCCTCTGACCGCCGGGAGGCCTGCGTTCCGAAGTCCGCTCGCCCCCTTTCAGTCCTTCCAGGGCCGAACACACAGCGCTGTGCCCTGGTCCTTCGGTGGGACTGACCTCCCCCGGTTCAGCGAGTGCCTCGGCGAACTGCGCCTGCCAAACCAGGAGAATTCAGCCTCCAAGCCTAGTTCAGTGCCCTCTCCTTGGGAAATCATTCCAGAGTCGTCCAGTTAGAAAGGTCCTCTGGCTCCCTGGAATGCTAAGAATAGAGGTGACCCTTTGTGGAGTGCTCAGATCAGAGCCAGGCACCATGCTGAACACAGGGCTTGTTCCATGGAATCCTCACACCAAACGCTGGAGGCGTTTGCAGATGAAGACAGTGAGATTGAATAACCTGTCCCGGGGAACTGGTTAGTGAGTTAGTGATGGGTAAGGAGTGCAGCTGAGATTTTCTGACACCAGGCTCTTCATGTTACCCAGGACAGGGCATGTCCTGCCTCCTTTTGGAATGTCTTTGTTTCTCTCTTACTGGTCTTGGAAGGCATGGTCTTCGTCCAGTGCATGGCTTTATGCTACACTTAGAGGTGCTCCTTAATTCTCCACTGAATAAATAAACAGCCTCAGCACCATTCCTCAGCTTAGGGAAGAGGCCATGTCAAGTGAGGGAAGGGAAGGGGAAGAGGGAAGCTGGAGCAGGAAGAAAAGCATAGGTAGTGGGCCGGGCGCAGTGGCTCACGCCTATAATCCCAGCACTTTGGGAGGCCGAGGCGGGTGGATCACGAGGTCAAGAGATCGAGACCATCCTGGTCAACAAGGTGAAACCCCGTCTCTACTAAAAATATAAAAATTAGCTGGGCATGATGGTGCACGCCTGTAGTCCCAGCTACTTGGGAGGCTCAGGTAGGAGAATTGCTTGAACCCAGGAGGCAGAGGTTTCGGTGAGCCGAGATCGTGCCACTGCACTCCAGTCTGGGCAACAACAGCGAAACTCTGTCTCAAAAAAAAAAGAAAAGAAAAGAAAAGAAAAGAAAAGCACAGGTGGGCTGTCTTCTCGTTCCCTCTCTGGGTCCCTGAGATCTCCCTGCCCCACTTTTGCCTGTCTCCTTGTTTGTCCATCCTGGCCAGTGTTTAGTGCCTGAGAGGTGAGGAATCGCAGAACGGCTGCCCCCTCTGAGCTGCACTGGCCCACGCATTTCAGCACGGGATAGTTGATGAAGCCCTTTCACACACGTGACCTCACTTGTACTAACACATGACATCTCTGAAAGGTATGTGGACATCAGAGTGACTCTGGATTGCCAGAGAGGAGGCCAAGGAAATTTTCCAGCCTGTAGGTGTCAGAGCCTGAGTTCAAAGCCATCTCACCTGACTTTAAACCCAGTGCTCTGCTGTTTGCCATGCTTCCAGCCTTGTAAGTTTAGGAGCAAACTCCATCTCTTTTTCTTTTTTTATTTTTTATTTTTGTCCCCCAGGCTAGAGTGCAGTGTCTGATCTTGGCCCACTGCAACCTGTGCCTCCCAAGTTCAAGTGTTTCTCCTACTGTCCCCAGTACGGGCACATGCCACTGCACCTGGCTTTTTGCGTTTTTTATAGAGATTGGGTTTCACTATGTTGGCCAGACTGGTCTCAAACTCCCGGCCTCAAGTGATCAGCCCACATCGGCCCCCAAAGTGCTAGGATTACAGGCATGAGCCACCACACCGGCCCACATCTCTTAATGGTGCACTGCCCTCTATATCCATCATGCCTGAATGAACCTGCCATCATATCTTTATAGTAAACCATACTTTTTGATGATGTTGTAACATTTCTGAAAGCCAGATGTATCTTATAATCAATGACTATTGAACATGGAAGTGTTCCCATTTGTCCAAAGACCTGTGAATCAGTCATGGGTCCAACAGGAAATATACTTTAACCCAGATGGTTCAAAGGATGAGGCTATAATGGAGAAACTCCTTATAGAGGTATGGGCAGAGTTAAGAGGGAACTTGAGGCACGCAAAGCCTAGTAACAGCAGGAAATTATGACCATCCCTAGAGTTGAAAAGAGGAGGCAGTCATGTTATTGGAGCCTAGTGAGCCAGCTCTTGGACCATGAAAGAGGGGCCATCCAGCAGGTAGAGGGAAGGAGCCACTGCCGGAGATACGGTGCTGAAAGAGAGAGAGGCATGGGGGCAAGAAATGCCAGACCATCTCTACCACCACCTGCCTCCTTCTCTGGCGAAAGGCCAGGGGCTGCTGATCAATGCAATCCACTAAGGTTGGCCTCCCAGGGCACAGAGAAGGGCAAAGAAGGGTAGAGAGTGGATCTAGTGGGGCACTCAACAAATGGGGAGTAACCAGTATAGATCCCATTAAGCCCACAAAGCATCTAACAAGGGATGAAGTTTCAGAATGAGAGAAATAAGGTAAATCAGTGAGTCTTACACCTCACCTACTGTGGACGTGGACATTGGAAGAGCCTGCACAGCTTTTTCAAACCACATCTCCCCTCTGTACTGATACACAAAGACACTAACGCTGACACACGCGCCACTGAGGCATATATTGTATCTCTCATGTGTGGCGCAGAGAAAAGGCTCTCACCGCTGGTGAAAAGCAATCCACACCTGGGGAAGAAGCAGGTATGACTTTCTCTCCTTGAAATTCTAAGAGCAACTCTCCTAGCTAAAGTCTTCTGAGATGTGACCCATAAGCCTTCACCCAACCCGATTCCCATTTCATGTATGGGCTATACACCAATAGAGAAGAAATGAAGACAAGAAGCGTCACTCTGGAGGCAATTAATCATGGTTTTAAAGTTGAACAGTCTCAGGCAGGGCC